TGGCCTTTAGAGTCTCCATTGAGAAATCAAGTATAATTCTAATAGTTCTGCCTTTGTATGCTACTTTTGCTTTTTCCCTTGTAGCTTTTAGTATTATTTCTTTGTTCAGAATGTTTAGTGTTTGATTATTATGTTTCAGATATTTTCTTTTCTGGTGCAATCTATTTGGTGTTCTGTAAGCTTCTTGTGTCTTTATAGGTTTCTTCTTTAGGTTTGGAAAATTTTCTTTTTTTGGTTTTGCTGAAAATATTTTCTGGGCCGTTGATCTGGGATTTTTCTTCTTTTTTTCTATTATTCTTGGTTTGGTCTTTTCATAGTGCTCCAAATTTCCTGGATGCTTTGTGTTTTGCATTTTTTAGATTTAACATTTTCTTTGACCCATGCATCTATTTCTAATATCGTATATTTAATGACTGTGATTTCCTCTTCTATCTCTTGTATTCTGTTCCCTTACCTACATGTCTCATTTTGAGAATTCCCTCACTTTGTGTTTTCTTTATTGCTTCTTATTTCCATTTTCAGGTCTTGAACAGCTTTATTTGTTTCCTTCAACTGTTTGATTTTTCTTGGTTTTATTTAAGAGATTGTTCGTTCCCTCCAATTTTCTGTTTGTCCTTTCCTCAATTTCTTTAAAGGGGATTTATTCACTTCCTCTTTAAATACCTCTATCATCTTTGTAAAGGTGGTTTTATCCTTCCTTGGTCTCCTGTTAAGCATTGCTATAGTTGTCTTATGCTTGCCTATATTAGTTAGACTAGACATGTATGCAATGTATTCAAAGTCGTCCTCTATTACAGTAACTATTTTCTCTTTAAAAAAATAAAAAGGGGAGATGTAGAAGGCATGTCGGTACTTGTGCTCACAGAAGCACTAGGGAAACCAGGAATGTTAAACCTGCAGGGTTGTATCTTTAAAATGAGAGATATATATTATCTGTTTTCTGGCCAGAAGGCTAGCAGTGGAGTGGGTAAATAGTCTGGTGACTTCTGTGGTATCTGTTTAGGCAGGCCACATTGACTCACCCAGAGCATTATCTGGAGCCTGTTTATCTAAGACAATTAACAGTACTATCCACTATCCACTTCCGACTCTTATCACAAACGTTGTTTACCTTGAACCTGCTTCCTCAGTTAATCTATAGAACCCGTCTTTATGGAAGGCTTCACAGGAGTTTTGATGCAGTCATGTCTTAAACTTTGTGGTGCACATGAGTTTGAGTTAAGTATCACTAATAAACTTTTCCCCAAATTGTTCTGTGCTTACATATACCAAAAATAAACTACAAAGTGTGAGACTCCCAAAGTTAGAACCAACACCGGCTGCTGAGTTGGGTTGAATTGAATTTCCTTCTTCCCTGTCCTGGAACAATAGGCTGATGGCTGTAGTGTTTGCAGAGACCATCCTACATCCACACACATACACTAATTTCCTCTTTTGGACCCTTGATAGCACAGTTAATCATGGCAGCAGAAAGCCGTGCTGTGGAAGTTGATTACCTACCCTATTCCAGAATGCAGCAAAGCAAGAGATCTCTTTTTCCAGGACACACCCCCATTACCTTTCTACCAGTAGGACTCTGTCTAAAGGTACTACCATTTTCTGTCAGTGCCACAGGTGAGGTGAGCTAGCAAGTTTTTTACATATGTGTTTTTGGGAAACGTTAGGTTTTTAATCATTTATAAATTCAGAAAAGGAAAGAAATATTTGTGCATGGTTTTATTTCTAATGATGGACAGAACTAAGACTCTCATCCAAACCTTTTCACTTAAATATAGAGCAGCTGTCTATATACTCTTTCATAATAGAGAGGCCTGGTTCCTTCCTAAAGGCATTGGCTTATCAACATCAGGATTATTTATCTGTAGGAAAATAAGTCAAGTATCATCTGTTTTTACCTATCTGAGTGACTCCAACTGATGATTTTACAAGGCACATATGTGACCCCCAACTTTCTTCACCACATAGAAAACTGTGAGGGGTACCCTGCAGGTAGAGAAGTGAACCACAAGAGGGGCAAAAGAAAACTTGGATCAGATTGGCTTCATCAACAGTGCATCAAACCTCAGAGAGTCTGATGCCAGATTGTTTATTGTCAGCACACTTAAACCCAGTATAATTTGGAAAAATAAAAACGTTTCCTGGTGTAATATAGTCTCCGATGCATAAGAAAGCATGATTGCTTTGAAACTAAAATCAGGTTACATGTTACTTCTTCCAAGAAGATAGATTCTAGAGATAGACTACCTGTATTATTTTAAAGACCTAAAGAAGGGTCTGGCCCAGACTTGGTTATACAGATAATTTAGGGCTCATTTGGTTTATAAGCCATCTCTGGTCCTGATTGTGGTACTTTGGGGAAGTCTTTGGCTCTATAGTTAATGTGAGGATCATTTAAATTAATGCCCACCTCAGGTCCTGGTTGTGGGAGCTTGGGGAATCCCTCGTAGTAATGTACGAGTCACCTCCCATCCTGGTCATAGCAGCTTGATATGACCTCGTGCACCAGAAAATGCAGCTCACCAGGCTGCTAATCATTTGCAATTCCCAGATTTATGGATGGGAGAACAGGTTTTATGTCCATTGCTTTGAGAGGACAATTCTGTGTGCTTAACATTCCTGGTTTCTCTGGAGAAGTGTAGGCTCAAGGACCTTAGTGCTGTGCTCCCAACAAGGCTGCATTTCCAAAATAACTATAGTCATTTTCCACACAGACATTAGGTGGCAGGCTAGATCCACTTGACAACTTCTTGTAGCTTCAGTTGTCACAATGCCATATTAAAAACAAAACTTTAAATGTATCAGAGACTTAAATGTGAGACTGCAAGTTTAGGTGTTAAAAGAACTCAGCACCTCCTAAGTGAAAGGACAAACTCAATAAATGCATGAGAAAAAGTCCTGCAAAGGTACAAGGAAGAAATACTTTAGGACAAAAAAAATCACAGGCAGTAGCCTGCTATAGGATTCTAACAGTGCAAGAAATCATAGCTAGAATTAAAAATGAAATCAAAAGCTTCTACACGGACAGGGAAACAGTTACCAGAATGAGGAGACAGATTAGAGAGCGGGAGAAAGTCTTTGCAAACTATTCATCCAATGGCAGGTATGCACACGAAAGTTCCTGGGAAGAATCTCACCTGACTAGACTGTAACTTGAAAGATTGTGCAGAGAGTGAAATGTTGCAGATCTAGGCCTGCGCCTTCAAAACTCAAGTAGTAATTTCTGCAGGCCCATACTATAATAGAGATATTCACAATTGCTGAGTTAAACAAGTCACAATTGCTGAGTCTGTGGATGGATGAATAGACACACACACATGCACGCATGCAGATACACACAAGTATTATTCAGCTATAAGGAGAAATGAAATCATATTTTTAGAAAGTAACAGACATAGAAAGAAAAGTAAAAAGGAAAGGGAGGACATGTGTAAAAGGGTCTTGAAAAGGGGACAACCCTGTGTGCTCCCCTCCCTGGACCTGTTTCTTGCTGGCTGAGTCAAGAGCTTGGACCTTTGCCGCTCCATGGTCTGTCTGAACTCCTCATTATTAGGATATAAGACACTTAATGATTCTGAAAGTCTAGACTGGAAAGAGTAACAGTCACTAAATTTTTAATTTTTTCCTTTTTTTCTTTTTCTTGCTTTTCTTTCACTCAATCACTTAACATTTAATTTTACAGAAAAATGCAAAGTGTGAGCCAGATGTTCCACAAACAGTATATAAGTACACACAGTCAGAGACAGAGCTTCTACAAACAGTATATGTGTGTACACAGCCAGAGAGAAATCCTACTGGAGAGAATTAGATGGGAGAAGAACTTGTTTGAGAAGATTAAAATAGGGGGGTAGGGGATTCAATTCTTTTGAAGCAAAAAGCAGAAACAACAGAGATAGCTGATGTGAACTAGTGGGAAAATCCCAGAGGGTATTAGGAAGGAGATTAGCTAATGATATAACTGTCTGTTTTCCCAGGGTTTGCTTTCTGAATTTATGCAAAGACCTCTCTCTTTCTCAATAACAGAACCCTAAGGGAATGGCTCCTGAGTCATTGACAGAGACATTCCTAGGGTATACATCTGGAAATAGGCAGAAGATTTATATCTCAAAGGGAAATAGAAAGAATGCGCAAACAAGTTTACAAAGGTCCATGTTTTTAAAAACATGAAGGCTAGTGAGTAATAGTCTGAAAGAAAACTGTCTAAAATTGAGTTAAATTCAAAGGAAGGTTAAGGGGAGTCTATATACTCATAGACAGACACACACAGACACACACACACAGACATACACAGACACACACAGACACAGACACGCACACACAGAGACACTCAGATACAGACACAGACACACACACACACAAGATGTGGGACTCCCCTCTGTATGCTGTGAATATATTTTATTTCCACTGCTTATTAAAGAATCTATTTTGGGCCTATCGTAACACAGAAAAAAATGAGGCAGGAATTCCAAGCAGAGATAGAGGAGAAAAGAAGGCAGAGTAAAAAAGACATCATGTAGGTGCCAAAGGAGACAGACTCCAGATGGAAATTTACCCAGTAAGCCACAACCTTGTGGAGTTACACAGAATAATAGAAGTGGGTTAATAAGAAGCCGAAGTTAATATGCCAAGCAGTGTTTTAATTAGTATAGTTTCAGTGTGATTATTTCGGGTCTGGGTGACTGGGAAACAAATGAACAGTCTCCACCTATACACACACACACACACATATGCGCACACACACATTTCTCATGCCATTATGACTCAAATGAGTTAAAACTCTGACTCCAGAGAGGCAAAATTTATATATTTGTTATATAAATATAACACAATTTTGGCGAAAAGACGCTTATGGGAAAGATCTATTCGATCTCACCAATGTTTTTCTGTTGTTTATAAGATCCACAGCTTGCTGTTGTCTCACGTGAGTGCTAAGCTGTGCTCTCACCCATCTTGTGGGTGCTAAAGGGAAATGCAGAGCGTCAGTGAGGACTTTTTGCTGTGGGAACTGCAAAGCATGAGCAAGCGGCACATTTTCTCCTGAGCTCCCAGTTCCCTCCTTCATATCCCGCTCCCCACTCTGCTGATTACCACATATTAAAGTTTTAGCATAAGTTCCTGGGATTTCAACCTTGTTTCAGGTATGTTTATCATTTCTGATTGAAGTTTTGGAACATATAATTAACATAATTTGTTCTTGGGGAAATAATTCCCCTTTAAAGTATGTTTTTAAGTTTTTACTATTTCTTTATTTTATATGTATAGTGTTATGCCTTCATGTACATATGTGCACCATGTGTGTACCTGGTGTCTCAGGTGACTATTTGAGGAAATGCCATAGCTTGGGTCAGGAACTACAGAGGGTTGTGAGTCACCATGTGGGTGTTGGGAATTGAACTCAGGTCCTCTAGAAACTCAGCCAGGATTCTAAATTCCTGAGTCATCTCCCCAGACTTACTTTTTTTTTTTTGTTTTGTTTTTCGAGACAGGGTTTCTCTGTGGTTTTGGAGCCTGTCCTGGAACTAGATCTTGTAGACTAGGCTGGTCTCGAACTCACTGAGATCCTCCTGCCTCTGCCTCCCGAGTGCTGGGATTAAAGGCGTGTGCCACCACCGCCCGGTCTCCCCAGACTTACTTAAGACATTTTTATTGAAAAAAAATTAATCAGAGTACACAAGAAAGCAAGACTTCTTTTTATTTGACATATATTCCCAATCTACAGAAATTAGTGACAGACCAAAGTAAGGACACCACCAACTTCAGTTCTGTACAGTAACTTTAAGGTATGGTAATTTTTCACAGTGAAACTTATCTTGAAATCTGAGTCATAAACAAGTGACTGCTGTCTGATCCATGTTTGCCTGCTTTGCTGTGGAGAGCCAAAATTAGGACATAGCATGCAATTGAATTTTCTCACTTAAAATTTTGGATATTTTGGTATTTGGTCTGTCTTGACTGTTTTTGTTGTTGTTTGTTTGTTTTCATGGACTAAATCAATGGGGTATGGACTTCCTTAAACACCAACTTAGTACAAGAATCATTCACAATGACCTCAATGGAGGAAAGAGTGAAAATCATATCGGAGCCCTGCACTCTAATTATAGGCTATAAAAATGCTACCTTTGCCTAAATTTTTGGTATGAGCATCAGTGATCTTAAAGAAGGTTGTGTCTGGGAGCTTTGGAGATTAGTTCTTTCTAGAGTTATCCCTGACTTTTCTCAGGTTCAATAATTGGTTCATTTGAGAAATTCACATTCCTTGAGCAACAATACAGATTTATTATTATTATTATTATTCGTTTTTCGAGACAGGGTTTCTCTGTAGCTTTGGAACCTGTCCTGGAACTAGCCGTTTTAAACCAGGCTGGCCTCCAACGCAGAGATCCGCCTGCCTCTGCCTCTTGAGTGCTGGGATTAAAGTCATTACTGCTTGGCCAACAATACAGATTTAAAAATCATTTTCATTCAGCTCAGTGCCCCATTTTATAATTGGGTTGATTAGCCTTTTACGGTCTAGTTTCTTGAGTTAAAAGCGGTCTCGCTGAACATAGCGGACAATGAGGACTACTGAGACCCCAAGAACAATGGCAATGGGTTTTTGATCCTACTGCACCTATTGGTTTTGTGGGAGCCTAGGCAGTTTGGATTGCTCTTTGGGCTGACGAGGGAGGGGGACTTGGCTGGGGGAAGGGGACGGAAAGGGGAGGCGGCGGTGGGGAAGAGACAGAAATCTTTAATAAATAAATAAATAAATTAATTAATTAATTAAAAAAACCAAAACATTTTCGTGCACTATTTTTTATTTTATGGATGCAGTTTTTCCTTTATTTTTTAGACTTAATTTATTTTATATCCTGACCACTCTTATGACTCCCTTCACCCCCAATCTACCCTTCCTCCATAATAGCTCAGAAATAGGCAGACCTCTCATGGGCTTCAACAAAGCATGGAATATCAAGCTGCCTTAAGATCAAGTACTACCCCTGTATTCAGGTTGGGCAAGGCAATCCAGTATAAGAAATAGATTCCCAAGAGCTAGTCAAAACAAAGGTGATAGTCCTTGATCCTGTTGCTGGGATTCCCACATATAGACCAAGCTACACAACTGTCATATATATATATATACACAGAGGATCTATGTCAGTCTCATACAGGCTCCCTGGTTGTTGGTCCAGACTCTATAAGTTCCCATGAGCTAGGCTAGTAGTTTCTGTGGGTTTTCCTATGATGTTCTTAACCCTTGTTTTCTATAATTTCTCCTCCTTCTCAGCAGGATTTCTCAGTCTGGTCCAAAGTTTGGCTATGGGTCTCTGAATCTGCCTCCATCAGGCACGGATGTGAGCTATGTGGATGACAACCGGGGTAGTCATCAGTCCTATCACAGGGAGTGGCAAGTTCAGGCTATGCTTCCACTGCTGCCAGGAGTTTTAACTGGAGCCATCTTTGTAGACTCGTGGAAGTTTCCTTTGCATCAGGCTTTTACCTGACTCCATAAAGCCCCCTTTCCAGTCAGCACTGTCTTTCTCTGCCCACTCCAAAACCCAGTCCTTCAAGTTCCCATGCCCACCCATCTTCAGTCTAACCAGGAGATCACCTCTATTTCCCTTTCCCAGGGAGATCCATGCATCTCCCCTTGGTACCTCCTTGGTACCCAGCTCTCTGGGTCTGTGGGTTGTAGCAAAATTATTCTTTACTTTACAGTTACAGGAAAAGTTCTTCACCAACTCCACATCCAACAGAGAGATGATATCTAAAATATATAAAGAACTCAAGAAACAAAAAATCAAGAAACACAATAATCTAATTTAGAAATGGTTACTGACCTAAAAAGAGAATTCTCAATAGAAGAATACTCCACTGTGTAAATGTTCCACATTTTCTTTATCCATTATCACACTTATTTAAGAACTTATTTGGCCAGGCACATGTCTAGAACTCCACTCTTTGGAAATAAAGGAAGGAGAATTAGAAGTTCAAGGCCTGTCTAGTTGTATAGTGAGACTCTGTCTCAAAAGACCAAGGGCTGGGAATGTAGCCCACTGGTAAAGCACTTCCATAGCTTAGAAAGGTGGGTTAGAGACTCAGTACCAGAATGTTTTAGAATATAAAACATGGCTTTGAACTTATCTAAAATTATTTTATTTCATTTGCTTCTAAATTTTTGATAACATGTCTACATTTATTTTAAACTTTGAAGTTGAAAACATGCCTTCATAAAACCTTATGTGCATACCTATTCCTCAACACAAAATATTTTGGAATTAATTACTTTATTCATTTTTACTAAAATATATGTCCCCAAATTAAAATATGCTGATATTTGCATTTTCTCCCACACAGTTTTTTTCTGTTTATGAAGATGAATGAAATGCCTATGACCTGTTCTACCCTAAATGTGAAATCCCAGCAGACGTGCAAAGCAAAGAAAAATGTTAAGAATGCATTTAATTCAAATGAATTATCATTCATTGAGCAGAGGGAAAAGCACCAAAAACATAAGAAGCACAAAAACACAGCAGAAGACATCTCTGGTGAAGGTATGATACTCTATTTGGTGAATATGGAGCGACTGTAGAAAATTTGGGTTAAGATTAAGGTTTTTTATGTACTAGGGAGACACAGAAGTGGCAGAAAGGTTTCTTTCTTTCTGAATCTTGTTAGAGATACACAAGTTAAATGAAGTATCAACTTAAATTAGACCATAAGAAAGACCACATGGTCAATATCATAACAATTTAAAGAGTGATCTGGATTGTTAGACTTCACTAAGTTGTTGTTGGAGGCTGCTTGTTTGTTCCTGGCTGATCAGACCATGAAATAACCACACAGAAACTTTATTATTTACAATACTGTTTGGCCAATAGCTTAAGTGGATTTCTGGCTAACTCATATCTTAGATTAGACTTTCTCTAATCTGTGTGTTGCTACGAGGCTGTGGCTTAGCAGGTAAAGTTCCAGCATCTGTCTCTGGTGGAGCTACATGGCTTCACCATGGCTCTGCTTTCTTTCTCCCAGGATTCAGTTTAGTTTGCCCCCCCCCCCCTCCCCACCTCCTGTGCAGGCCCAAGTGAATCCTTTATTAACCAATGGTATTCACAGCATACAGAAGGGAATCCCGCATCACTAAGTGAGAGTTGTTTTTGCCTTGAGTCAAAAATCAATTTTGAGAAGTGAAAAAAACTGGGACTGAATTCCCTGACTACAACATTTTAGGAATTAAAGTGTAAAATAATGACAGGGTGTAGCTCTTTATGGTACTGGATTTTCCAATCTTGTTTAGGGCACTGAGAGTTTGATTTGGCTGGTGGGTTTCTGGACCAGGGAGACTTGAGTCTTTAATCTCGTTATATCCTGAAACAACAACAAAAAAAGACAGATGTATTTCTTTCAGACATGAAACTCAAAACAATTTGGATATCAGCAAAGATAAAATCAAATATTTGTTAAGATTTTTTTGTAGGTAATGTAGTTACAGATTATAGCTTATTTCTGGGATGCTCCTCTGATTTTCATAGGCTTTCCTTTTCCAGACCTAAATATCTGGAAAATCCAAGCTTAGATAGAGGAAGAGAGTTTAGGAATTTGCAGAAGCCAATTCAAAGATTCCAATAAATACATAAATAAACACGTGAACTTGAGTGGCTAAATGCTGGGGATCAGAATCCCACCTTCATCCAGTCCTACCTTATATCTTTAAACACAGGCATATTCCCAGTGAAGGACACTGTTAGAACAGAGAAAGTAAAAAGAAAATTAAGTTTTCCATGGGAATTTAGATAGTCTAAAAACTAACCCCCATATGAAAAGAAAACAAAAACTTACTGCAGTGAAGCATAAGTGTTTGACACTTGCTTTTATAGAATGCTCACTTAGAGTCTGTTGATGTTCACTGATGCTCCTAAGGGAAAATTGCATCTAGCCAGTGGTGAGTATTTGAAATGGAATATTGGCAACAAAGCAAAATAAAACAAATCAAAGCAAAAATAGATGTGATAAGCTGACCAAAAGCAAGTGGGCTGCTATGTGGTACTGAAGATCAAAGTGAAGTTAGAGTCTATTATGGATGTGAATCTGACCCAGGCCATTTGCTTGCAGAGAGGAGGTAGAATCCATTTAGCTGAGTCTATTCTAATCTGGCAGATGCAGTGGGAAATGCTGGCAGTGGGGCCACTCCTCATTCTCGGCTCTGTTACTAAAGTCTCATCCTTGCATGTAAACCATGAAACATGTATGTTCACTGGGTTAAAGAAAAGAGTCGGAAAATATGGAGAGAAAATGGACCAGTCAAATGATGTTCCATTGGCTTCCTAATTCAGAATGTAATCACATTTACAGGGAGGAACTCAGGTCTAGACCAATCTTTTCCCATCTAGGTTTCAACTTGTATTCCTGTTTAGTTCCCCACACACACCCTCAAGAGAGTGATAGAGTAGGATTTGGAGATCAAATATAGTAATTACAGGCTCAGTTCCATTGATTATTTTAACCATAACTGCTATATAAAAAAGCTTTTTACATCAGTTCCTGTTTTATACAAATTGTGAATTATTCACTGAGTTTTGGCTTAATTTTCTCTTGCGGTATTTGTATTTCCTATATTGAGTACTGAATTCTGTTTTAAATTAAGGACATATAAACTAATTCCATGGAACATCTCGGATACACCAATTTGTCATGTGACCTTTAGTAATTAAATATATTTTGGTTGTTCAGATACTTTTACTCATATGCCATTATTTCCTTTAAACCTTGTGAGAAAAATATTTAACAGACTTGCTATGACATTCAGAAGTAAATTGGGATGCTCTGCTGATGAAAGCAGCCTATAAGTGATGCTGGTGAAAATAGGCCCTGGGGCAACCCTGTCTGTCCATTACCTCACTGCTGCCGCCAACTGGCTTAGATCCCACTGTTTGATTTCTCGTTCTCAGAGAATTTCTCACTTTTCCCGTGGAGACTCATCTCTAGTTTGCTTGGTGCCATGTGCCTTCTCCTGATGGCTGTAGCTGTAGCGGTGACTGTTTCTACTGCAAACTGTGAGTGTCCCTAGTGCTTCTCCCCTTTCTCCTTTGGGCTAGGCTTTCAGCAACTTATCAAAATTCCTCCTTCACTGTGGGCACAACTGTGTATGAGACATTGGGTGGGTCGCAAGTACCATCACCAGAAAAAAAAGGAAACAAAAAAGCCACCATGGTCTTTTAAACATTTTCTAGAAAATTACTTATTATTATTCTAGAACAGAGGCCTTTTATTAATTCTATTATGTATCATTATAACAGAAAGAACTAATTATGATGTGGACTATTTTTGTAGTATCTTCTGAAAGAACAAGTCCCACAGCCCAGCCAAAAAGGTAGGTGTCGGTTTCCTAGCCTTTGTGCACAGATTCAATCAAGAAAACACATTTATTGTTTATATTAACTCCATGAATAGCAGACAGAGTTTTCACAGGCAACACTCTTCAGCTTAAGTAAGAAAAGAAATGACATAGTTCCAGAAATTTAACAACTAGTGTTAATATGGAACAGAGGTTTTTATTTATAGCAAACTGTAACACAATACACAAATATTGTTGGTGTTATTCTATATCTCTGGATGCAGCATAAACAATCTCGCAGGATTCCATGATTTTGTATGGGAACAGGATTAATGGGAGAACAAATTTTGGAAGTGAAACTTTTCAAGAAAGAAAGAGAATCTAATGATGATGTAAAGGAGTATTTCCACTCCAAGAGCCATAGACTTAGGAAAACTCTCAGTTCAGTAGTGAGGATGGATAGGTCTCAGCAGATGTATATTTATGAAATAGAAAAAGTCTGGAAGTTCATAGAAAAAAGAAAAAGTGTGTGTTTTTAGCCCAGAGTTTAATATGAGTATTTTAGTTGTCTTTATAGGATGCCGTTACAGTATTTTAAGTATACAAGTTCGTTGTTATAAACAAGTAAAAAGCAACATCAGAATCTCTGAACTTTTTCAGGGGAGTGATAGACATTCCTTCCCTAGGACTTTATCATCCCTGCCCAGAAAACTGGGTCTGGTTCAGATGCAGTTGTTATTACTTCTCCAAGGAAAAGCTAAGCTGGAGAGAGAGTCAGCTGGCCTGCTTGTCTCTCAATTCCAGTCTCATAAGGATTAGCAGAGAGGAGACGGTAAGTGGCTTCAAATGTGAGTTGCAAGGTGCGCGATCCCCAGAGGGATTAATAGGGTCAAGCTGACCACTACTTACTCTTGCTTACGGTTTGAACCAGTTCAATAGCTGAAGGGTAAAATTGTTCTATCTTTTGTTTCAGTTTTTATGTGCAAACTGTAGGGAGACTTATGCTTTTCATACAGATAAAAATAGTAAAATAATATTTGGAATTTCAGTCATGATGAATATATTGAAGCTGTGCCTGGTGGCACAGGCCTACAATCCCATTTCCTTGGGAATTCAAGGCTAGTGGATTCCAAATTCAAGACCTGCTTGGGTTACAGAGTGAGTTGAGGACAAGCCTGCACAACTTAACATGACTCTCTCTCAAAATAAAATAATAAAAAAGAAGAATATAATGGGTTGAAGAAAGTAGCTCAGTGGTAAAACATTTCTGAGATATGTCTTATAATACAGCATCATTTAGTGAGACTGCAGACTTCAGACATAGATTAAATATACACAGAGTGAGTTGACTTTTTCAAAGGCATATGATGAGATAATGATGAGAACTCTACGTCTTCCGTTTTCTCACTTTCAGGATTTTTTTCATTTGAAGTCTTTCTTTTGGGTTGGAGTTTACTATAATAGAACTTGCAAACAGTGGCAGTGGGAAAACCATTCGGTTCTGTCCTCTGGGATGTAAGTATCCACAAGGCATCAGGTGTTTAATTTAGTTATGGTGTAAATGGAGGGTTATGGACACAATTTCAGCAACATTAGAGAACTGAGAAAACAATCTTTTATACCTATCCCACATGCAGAGGGATTTTTGCTTGAAAATATTCTTATTAACTTTCATAATAAACTAAAAGAAACTATGAGGCACAAATGAAAGGCGTTTATTATCTCTTCATAGTTTCCCTGCTAGAAGTCTGAGCCTAAGTGTCAGCAGGTACACCTTCCAAAGCCCTCCTCAGATTAGCGCTAGCCCTCCTCTGTCTTTTGACTAATCCCTCTTCTGAAGATACCAAGTCACACCAGGGCTCACCCTAATGACCTATTTCAGTAGAGTTATTTCTTAAGGGTTCCACCTCCAGAAAGATTCTGAGCACTCGAAGTAAGGAGTTGGGATAGCATAATAAGCCCTTTGCCTCTTTGCTTCCCCAGTTTTACAGCTTTCTCATTTGCAAACATATTTGTACATTGTTCTAAAAGTACCAAAGCGATCGACTCTATCCTAGCTCCAATTTCCAGTTGGTTAGATCTCCGACTCACCACAAGGCAAACCTCTTCTCCAATGTGAATTTATGGATCCAAACATGAAATATCAAAGAAATATTTGAAAGTGGGACAGACATAGGTTAGACTTTCCTCATTCTGGAAAGAAGCAACAGAAACACATGCATATTGAAACACACCCAAGCAAGCTAGAAACTTTTGGGGAGGCAAAGCTCCCTCCCCGCAACTCTTTTTTTTTTATATTAAAAGGTGCTTATATCCTCTGTTTAACTTTTAGAACACTATACGAACTGAAAAATAAAATAACAAGCAATAGCAAATAGTCCTCTGCTCACTCATCACTTCATAAAAAGTACCAGCTGGAGGCCATTTCCTAGAACTGACCCTGAACGTAGTTCCTAGGCAGATGAACATTATTCTCACAGGCTTGTCTTGACACTCTCCTTCCAGGTTTGGATCCACTACTTCTCCCCATCAAGAAAATTTCTCAGTTTACTAGAAGAGAGAGAGGCAAACATTAAGGAAATGACACCTTTAACTAGATGATCAGGCAATCCTTTTATTTGTCTGGAAATAAGTTGGCATACCTTCATTTAACACAATGTCCTTTAGTTCTAAGTCTCAAGAACAACTCTCAGTTTAACATTCTGTCCCCTGGCCTCTCAGAGCAATGACTGCATTATATAAGATCTAAGGTCGTCTGCAATATGTTATTAATGTCCTCTTGTGTTGAATATTTGACTCATCATGAGACTAAACACTGTAGTGCCCAAATATATATTTATACCGCTGGCAACTTTTAATTACATGAGTTATGCAGTTCGTTTTGCTTTATATTTTTTAGTTGCAGTGTCATGGATCCAAGGCAGACCTTTGATCTTGCTAGCATCATGCTCCCCTGCTGAGCTACAACTCCGAGCCCTATTCACAGGCTCACTATTTTTTTTAAGTTTCTCTTTCTAACCTGACAACCAACTGACATCGCTTCCCCACTCACTCTTTAGTTGAAATATTAATTAATATTTACAATTCCATATACAGTTGATAAATTTGCAGTTTACTAGCATTTTACCAATATGAATTATGGGTTTTGGAAATCACAGAGCTTGCATTTTTAAATTGTGTATGTAGGGTAACAGTTCTGTAGTATCGTGTGGATTTGAATGCCACGTAATTTATGGATAACAGTGTAATTTGTTTCATTTTAGGTTTTGTGGTTTTGAACCTGATATGCAAGACTTCTGTGTATCTTATAAATCAAAAGAAATTTGTTTTCTTGAAAATTGTACAAATAAACTGGAATATATCTGCAAGAAGTACCATATTTAATCCTAAGAGCTCACAAAAGATAGGAAAATGAAACATTTCTTCTCAAACTTCTCTTTTGGTTGTTTATTTTCTGAAGAAAACATTGTAAATGTTTGCCTCTGCTTAAATAAAATTATATTCAAATACATTTTAGTGGTATTCCTTGTCAATGTTTATGCTAACATATTTATTGCATATTGCATGAATTTTAGAAGACAGTGTAATAAATGGTTTCTGAATGAAATGCGATAAAGCTGATGAGTTCAGATGAAACCATTTGTCGTTTAAAAGCTTGAGCTATGGGACCTGGAGAGATAGCTTGGAGGTTAAGATCACTGACTGCTCTTCTAAAGATCTTGAGTTCAACTATCCTGAGTGAGGTAAGCCAGACCCAAAAAGAGGAACATGGGATGTACTCATTCATATTTGGTTTCTAGCCATAAATAAAGGACATTGAGCCTATAATTCGTGATCCTAGAGAAGCTAAATAAGAAGGAGAACCCAAAGAAAAACATATAGGCATCCTCCTGAATATTAACCTTCATCAGGCGAGGAAAGGAGACAGAGACAGAGAACCACATTGGAGCACTGGACAGAAATCTCAAGGTCCAAATCAGGAGCAGAAGGAGAGAGAGCGCGAGCAAGGAACTCAGGACCGCGAGGGGTGCACCCATACACTGAGACAATGGGGATGTTCTATCAGGAACTCACCAAGACCAGCTGGCCTGGGTCTGAAAAAGCCTGGGGTAAAACCGGACTCACTGAACATAGTGGACAATGAGGACTACTGAGAACTCAAGAACAATGGCAATGAAATTTTGATCCTACTGCACGTACTGGCTTTGTGGGAGCCTAGGCAGTTTGGATGCTCACCTTACTAGACCTGGATGGAGGTGGGTGGTCCTTGGACTTCCCACAGGGCAGGGAACTCTGATTGCTCTTTGGGCTGACAAGGGAGGGGGACTTGATTGGGGGAGGGGAGGGAAATGGGAGGCGGCGGGGAAGAGACAGAAATCTTGTCCATCTCTCATCTCACTATTGATTCATCAACACACCTTCAATTTTACAGATTTCAGAATAATTTCTCCATGTCAACACAATTCCCTCAGTCCTATAGCGGTTTACCAATTACTAGTTTCAGAACCTATTTACAATTTTCTTCTTTGAAGTAATATTTATTTATTATAAACTCACAATCTTAACTAATACTCAATAAATTTGGCAACTACTGGTAAAATACATATTATTTTGATATCCTAGGAAGTTTCTTAAGCCAAGTTCAGTAAATCCCTATCACTTCCCAGAGCAAATTGCTGTGCTATTTCTTCATAGTAGCTAAGACATTCCTTTTCTTTGTTTAAAAAAAAAATGATAAACACAGCGTGTCCTTGCCTGTATAAAATTTTTTCTGCCATGTGACATTTTGAGGCTTATTTTTGATAGTGTGTGTTATGAACATTCAGGCAAAGAGTGATGTCCGGAGCTTTAGTTTTACTAAGCTGGTCTTGAGTGGCCATGGCAGTTCTACCACTAGGTTAGTGTTTTTAAACATGAAATTTTCATCTCTTGCCTCTGAAAAATATGAACCTTAAAACAGCTTTTGCCCCCAAAATTTTGAAAATAACTTCACATTTATCTTGCACAACATAGTTTACTCATGTTGAGTTCTACTTCCTTAAAGATATGGTGAGGGAATATTGTGTGTGAAAGAGCAATCACTGGTGTAGTTTAGCTTGATTTTACTTTATTTCCTGACTTTGCTGACAAAACTGTACCCTGATTAGGGTATGTTCCCTGTAATCCTAAATTAGAATACCATTTTCATATTGAAAACTCACTTTGTCTAATCACCACACCATATATATGCATACAGCATTTCGGTGTACTAATGATATAGAAAATTATTTTCAGTTAGTAATAAAATATGAGACACTGTAAAGTGTTAAAAATGAAAGACAAAATTACTGCTTGCAAAATAAATATTTATTCTAAGGTTGTCTTCATACTAAATTATCATGGGATGGCATAGACACATGGCTGACTGCTAAACTTGGGTTGATAATAGATTACAATTCAAAGTTCATATTTTAATAGTCTTTGCCAGGTATCAGATTTAATCTGATATGAAAAGCTTTTTATAAAATCCTGTTCTGGAATTTTTCTGTTCCAATCCTGGTGACAGGAATCCAATGAGAACCCAGGAAGGAGGTAAAGAACTTCCTTTACCTTGAATTCAGTGATTCCATATTTATTTTTAAGTCTGGCAACATTACAAATTTATCAGAGCATTCATTAAACTCTTTTTTTTGTCTCTGATGTCAGGAACTATGACTAACATCATATAGTTATGCATGGCATTCTTTCAAATCTTTCTCCAGCCTTTGTCTGTTCATTATCTCCTTGCCCACCTCTGAGTTCTCCGGGAGAAGACAAAGAATCCCATGGAGGCAGTGGGTGTTATTTACAGTCCACAGAATATTTCTTGTTCATTGGGTTATCTTTGTGATTGGTATTTATTTTTACTTCCCTTTTATAGGGTAAATATTGTCATGGGCTCAAGTTTGATTTTGTTTCCTGAGGCCATGCTTTGCCAGAATCACAACACTGTTGCAGTTACAATGATAATGGTCAACCACAACTACACTTGCAATGCTCCCTTGTGCCCCTTCTTTCTTCCCTCCTGCACCTACTGCTACATGATCAGTGACAATGCTTAAACCCCTTTTAAAACCTTTTGCAGTAGCCTCTTGTTTTCAAGCTATAGCATTCCTCCTGTCAATCACCCGCTACTTCTCCCCTAGACCACATAGTCACATTATGGCTCAGGCAGGCAAGAGCTGTTATTTTCAGGTGGTGGTGGTATCTCTGTAGTTAGAAATAGTTAGCACTGTACAGTGAGATGTGTCAGGCCTGCCTTTTATGTGCATGGAGTGTGACTGAGCTGTTGGCTGGAGTCAGATCCAAACAGTGGCTAGACTCATATCACAATTCAGAGAGGTCCTTTAAAAGCCTATCTCCAGGCCTGGAGAGACGTTCAGTGGTTAAGAGTGCTTGTTGCTCTCCTAGAGGAGTTGAGCTCAGTTCCTAGCACCCAAATATGGTGGTTCACAATGATACCCCATTGCCTTCACAAACAATGGTTTTCATGTGGACACACACACACACACACACACACACACTTAAATAATTTTAAAGAGTTAGTCTCCAAACTCATTGTAGTCAATGGTAAATGGCCATTGTCTTGAAACCAGGCATACCAGCTCATGACTGTAATCTCAGCATTTAGGAGGTTGAGACAATTTCTTTCTCCCCTGGGCTTCCTACGGAGCTTCAGGAAAACCCAATGAAAGTGAAAAAAGAAAGAAACATGCAAAGTGTTCAAGACTCACTCCCCAAGGGAAGGTTAGTGTCCAAAGTCGGTACACTGAGCCCTTTAGAGGTTCTTACTGATTCTTAGTCTTCAGCTGGGGCCTGGTGTGCATTTTGTTCTAAGTTAGGGAATCTGTCTTCTGGTCACATTCCCTCTTCTTTTTGTCCAGGTTTCTTGGCAGACAGATACCCAGAGAGTAACAAGATAGGCATTTGCTGAAAGAACAAGAAAGGGAATCTCACCTATCATCTATGGAAGTGCTTGAACTTTGGATGTCAAGAACTGACCAATCAGCCAATCTTGCTGTGATGTTTCACAATGATGACCCAAAGACTCACCCAAACTCACCACAGCTAAACTATTTTCAGCTACCCAGGAGGTGAGGAACCATAGCTGCAACATACTCAGGAAGTTCTTATATTTGCTTAGAGGTCCTCTGTGGTGTACTAATATAATATTTAGAAAAAGTATACATTAGGGACTGAAATTACAAAACCAGTTGCATAGCTTTTCTAGTCTGGCTTAAACATTCTTATACCCTAAACAACCAAGAAGAATGTGAATATTTTCATTTAAAATATGTTATATTTATGTCATATTCACCTGGATATTTCCGTGAAGACATCTCTCTTGTATAAAGTAGTCACTTAGACAGGGTCAGATGCTCAGAAGAAACTTCAATATCTGACAAATGTATGCTGACACTTCTTCTCATCCAGGGTGAGTAAACTATGCCTGAACAGGGTGAAGGCTGCTGCTTTGTTTTCTTCTTAATTATTTGTGAGAAGAGTTTCTCTGGGTACTTTTAATTCAGTGTCAGTACAGAAACGTGGTAGTGTACTGTGTAATGTCTTTTGGTGAGTAACATGACTAAATCTGCAAACTGACTTGAAAGCGTAAAATGATATATTTTTTTTCATTTGTTAAAAAAAAAACAACGGATCAAGCTCTCAAAGTATAACTTAAAAATTACTAGGCATCATATCAGAGATCAAGTAAAATGTGGTGTTAAATTAGAAGGGCAAGCATTTAAACTGTGTCAAATACTTCCTCATCTGGATAGGAGGTAATGGGTGGCTGTTTCTAAAGGACCTTAAAGAAGTCCAGAAAAAGCTGATGAAAGAACAACCTTGCCAGGCGGTGGTGGCACACACCTTTAATCCCAGCACTCAGGAGGCAGAGGCAGGTGAATCTCTGTGAGTTCGAGACCAGCCTGGTCTACAAGAGCTAGTTCCAGGACAGGAACCCTGTCCACAGGAACCACAGAGAAACCCTGTCTCAAAAAAACCAAAAGAAAAAAAAAAACCAAAAAACAAAAACCAAAAAACAAAAAAAGAGAACAGCCTTAATGAATTCTTAAAATGTTCTATGAAAGGGTTTAATCACAAAAAGGAACTTGGCTGTTTAATTAAAATGATATCAGAATCTTAAGCTCCAGGAAGAAAGTTCAAAGATAGGAGGAATTCGTTTTTGCTGGGTACATTTGTATTATTCTCTTTACATACAAATACTATTGAGAATGACAACTTTTCCATCAGTAAAGGAACAGAATGTCAAAATACTTTATTAAAAATATATACATTCATATACAAATTCATATATACATGTATATTCAAATAAAGCGTATGAGTCAAATACTAAAATTGGAATATAATGTATTAAATTCTCCCCCATTGAAGCAAATCATTTACACAAAAACTGATAAACATTGGTAAAAGTTTTTGTTTACCTTATTCTTCTTTAAAAAACAATTCTTTAGATTAACAAAATATTTAGTAGTAACTATTTTCTGTAATATGAATGAAGACATTATATGGTTATGGTTAAACATATATATATGTTTAAACACACACATATATATATATACACTATTGAACTATGTACGGTTTTGTATATATATGCACACCAATCCACACAAGGTAATGAATGTTTATGAAACTGGCAAGATCTGGGTAAATTTTCTGGATTTTACCAATCTCAGTTTTTTGGTTTTTACTTGCATTCTAGCTATGTAAGATCAATAATGGGGAAATAAAGTCCATAGTACAAATGGATTCCCTATACTACTGTTGCTGATATATATATATATATATATATTAAAAAGAAGCTAACAACATTTTTATAGTCTTGATATAAACATGAACTAACATCATTTTCACATCCTTCATTTTTCAAACCCTCTGTTAGATCTCTTCCTAAAGTACAATTCTGTTAAATTGTTTAATAAAAGACTTAGCCCACATCGGAAATGGTAGATGCACTGTTTCCAAATAAAAGTTCATGGGAGTCACTCTTAATCCAAGTTTCATTTTTTACATTACAACCAAAGCACACAGATGTGTGTCCCCTGTTCTCGTCTTCCCCCTACAATTATACTTCAGAATATACTTTCACATGTAGATTAGTGAAAGCCTCCAGTAGGAAACTCAATCCTACAGAAAAACCTAAGCAAGGAAACTCAAGGAAGCACCATTGGGTTCATCTGCTTGCAATGCTGTGTGCCTGTTTATCAGCATCTCTTTGAGATGATTGTTACCATCTGTTCTTAACAAAGCCAAGCCCCAGGGCTGAAAATGGGACCATCAACCATGACGTTCAAGCCACCCAGAATTTCTTACTCACTGACCACAGGAAGTGTCTTTTTAAACCACTCAGGTACACAGCTGAAGAATGGAGTTTCTAGATGATTTGTGCATAGGAGTAAGCTTGCATTATTTTGTTCAAGGTACACGTCTTTTAAAAACAAGCAAACTGAACTATAATATTGGAATTCAAGTTAAGGTCCTAAAATACAGAAAGAGAGAAGTGACTAGAAGGTTAAATTGATAGTGAATTCTAAAAATATTCATTTCTTGGTTTGTAGGCAAAAGAGGAAATTAGAAAAAAAAGCATGTGGTTCACTAAAATTTATGATTAATAAAAGTGGATAGTAACATATTTTAAAAAGATATCTATATTTCTATTAAAATGAAATTGACTTAGTCATGAATAAAATGTATTTACTCAATTTTCTTATTGTTTCCTATTTGAACAAAGATATAAATAAATATATTAGTCGAGACTGTCCCTGAACTCTTGATTCTCCCACCTCCACTCCTCCTGTGGGAACAGGTGTGTGCCATCATACATGGCAAAGATCACAGGCCATAAAGTTAGAAATTCTAATTTGAAAATTAGCATAGCCTCATGAAAATATACAATGTGTAAGGATTTTACCAAGCAAACTCCAGTAGAGTGTGTTGGATTTTTCATTATAGTGTTTATAAGAGATTTTTATGGCAGGCCAGTCATCTTCCTTTTCAGGAAGCCTCCACAAAGAAGATTGCTTTGCAAGCTGGGTGCACTGTGGGAAACACATCTCTTTAGAAGCAATGAAATGAAAACAAATCTCTCCTTTGGAATACTTCTTACGAAGACATATTACAGTGTTAGGTGTACATGCCTAGGAATAGAAAATACCCCACCCCTCATATCTTCAGTGGGCATTAGATTCCTTTTCACACCTCTTTCCTCAAGTTTTAAAGATGTTATTAATGCCAGCATTTATTTAGAATTAGTTCTCTGGAAATGGCAGTGGATAAAAAAGTGGGGGAGGGCAGAGGGAGGAAAATGGAGCATTTGGAAGAATACATAACTATCTGAAACAGATACAGTAAAACTCAATATCCCATTGAACATCAGTTTGGGTGTTTCTGTAAGTTCTGAGAAATGTTTTAGGTACACAGTTTATTTGTTTTATACACACACACACACACACACACACACACACATATTATATATATGGGATTGGGGTGGTGGAAACTGTTAACACAGGGAGAAGAAGGCAGAACACAATTGAGATTGTCCTTTCTCTTAACCAGTTACTTGAAGTAGGTCCTGCAATGGTTAAGTGATTCTGAGAAGTGAAAGAAATAACTGTGTTAATGTTTTCTTGTCTTAAGGTCAGTGTTGCTGAACTATATTAAATTCTGAGATATGTCCATAAAGGTCAGCCTGATGATAATTAGTCAGCACTGTGGATTGCCATTTGTGGGAGCACCAAGGTTTCTAGCAGTTCTAAGAGGAAAAAAAAAAGACCAGATGTACAGGGGTTCATTCAGACATTATTTGGCCAGAGTTTACCAAATATTTAATTGAGACGATTAGGGCAGATGAACTGTTTTGAGTGGGGGTAAGTAGGAGGGGCGCCATAGTGTGAAAACAATTTAGTTGTCTGTGTACAAAAAGGAAACAGACTCAAGTAGAGTTGGGAGTTTAGAAAGACTTAAAAGGAAGGTCAAAAATACGTGTCTGGAGAGTGAGGAAGAGAGAGAGGGAGAAAGGTGGGGGTCCGGAGAGCATAATGGTAGTGGATGCTGCTTTCATTCTTTCTGAGTTTGCCTGCTGTGACAGGGTTAACACATCAGGGATCAGAAACACAGAGCAAGACATAGATATTCCAACCAGTCTGTACTAAAGGAGAGAAATGCCAACCTAGGAAGTGCGAATACAGGTAGGGCTTGGTTTTAAATACATTTTTTTTTTTTGTGAGCTTTGGACTGGCTATTGAGCTTAAGTAGCCTTAGGCGAGTTAACACTATCTCTCTCTTAGGTTCCTCACTATCCAATTTGATATCTTCTTTATTAAACCATCAAAAACAAATATTTTGGCACATAATATGTGCTTTAAAATTTGTTGAACACAAAATCAATAAGTATTTCTTATTATACAAGTAGAAATTCTGTGTGGAATTTTATAATACTAAGGGAATTTGCCATTGGTTTGTACATCTTGCCTCTATTTTCTAAACAGATTTTTTTTAGAGACAACTTTGATGTTCACACACTGAAAAAAGTTCCCTCCCATCTCCTTTCGCTGTAGTGTTTTTTGACAAAGTCACAGAGAGAATTTCCTGTGCTCTGGTTCCTGGGTCACCCTAGAAGCTTGAGGCATTACTGCTCATCCTACTCTGCATCTGTGTACCTCCAACAGAGGATTCAAGAGCATCACCGCAGCACACTATGTCCCTTCCTCTTTTAATGCTTAATGTCTCCTCCCTAGCTTCCTGCTGAGCTCTGAGATCCACATCGTTCTTAAGCACAAACACATCTCCTGTGAATCAGCCTTGGACCATCACTTCTCATGGCAGGTACGTGTGCCCCCGTCATAGCAATGATAAAATAATAACCGGAAATGATGACTCAGATTGAATAATTTCAGAGCTGGCTTTAATAAAAATAAAACAGGAAGTACATAATCAGCATTGGATATTTTTAGACTTTCCATGCTTCAACGCTTTCTGCATTCACTGTTTTCTTGATTCCACATTTTGGAATTTAAGCATGACTTTATGAAGCTAAATTGTAGGCAACCTTTTTCTGAGTTAGGGTGTGGTTTTTGTTAGATTTAGAATGAAACTGAAACTAAATTGTTTAATTCATCAGCATCGTGTTTCTACTACGGGAATAAAGAATGCCTAGTAATAAGGACACAAGCCTTGCAAATTTATAAATTTGCTTTCTGTGTTGTGGCCTTTTCACTGAAACCTCGTACTGTTGGTAGTGGCAGCAGTTATTTTTGACAATAATCTAATGTTAAGAGAGAGTCATTTAATATGGAAATGTTTCAAATAATAAGCAAGTGGCTTTGGATATGAGTTATGGTATTGTTGAGAAAGCAGAAAGTCAAAAGTTAGTTTTGTATCATAAGTCAGAGTGCTGTGAACTGAACTCAGACGCTCAATCCATACATCATTGTGGAACCTCTCACCACACCAGAGTGTTTTCCTGCAGACCTCTGCAAGTCACTTGTCTGAGCGTGGTCTGCATTCAGACTTGGAGAGAACACATTCAGTGATGATATTCTCCTGACAAGGAGGGAATATGATAAATGACAGACTCTGATCTTGACACTATTCTGTTAGATTTCTGTCAGGCACTTACTAGCTTTATAACATAAGAAAATAATATTGTGAGCATTCTTTATTTTTCTTATCTCTCTAAAACAGAATTTTTAAATCTATGATATTGCTGAAAGGAAAAGAATTGTCTGTTTAGCAAGCCCACTATGCACCATGACTGCTTGTTGATCTATTCTTACTGTAGAGAGAAATTTCACTGCAGATTTACAGAGTTAGTGGCAAATGATTTCAATGATGCAGAAAATACGTATGAATAACCACATCAAAGAATAAGGTACATCACATCAAAAGATTGCTATTGGGTGGAGTTCTGAAGCAACGTTTTCATTCCCCAGTGAATCGGTACCATCATAAAAAGGATTTGGGTTCTTCCTTTTCTTAAGGAATTCATGTTCTATGTTTATACTTTACTCTGTTAGTTATTAATCTATATGTTTGGTATTTTTCTATAGTTTCTAGAATCAATCTGTGGAGGTTGATGTCTGTGATCTTTGGAATAAAATGTCTTTTGTTGATGGTTACTTTGGGAGTTTTGATGAAAAAGTGTAAGTATTTCTATGTAAATCTATAAAAAAATCAAAATTATGAACTAATTTAATAATGAATATTTAATTCCTTTAATGTATACTATTTTATTTCATAAATACATGTCAAACTAATCTTTAATCATGTCATACAGCATTTACTATACAGAGTATTCAACCAACATCTTCTCCAACTTCCGTCGAAGAAGGTAGGTTCCATTTTTTTTTCACAAATATAGTTAATAGAGGAAAAGGCAGAGTGGTTCACTCTCATGTACAATAGCATGGTTGCACTCAGTAAAGTTGTCTCATTGTATTGTGCTGCAGTCTAAGGAAAACAAAATTACACTGAATTGTGTGTGTTAGCCTACTTAGGAAGTACTTTAAGTAGACACTGCATAAAGAAGATATTTTTTCCTCATAGTTTTAGAAGTTTTGGTCTGTAGTCAGTTGGATTTGTCAGTCTTGTACCTATGCCAAGACAATGCATCATGGTGGAAGCATGTGTGAGTGCAGAGCATTTCATGTAATGGCTAGAAACCAAAGAGAGGAAGAAGATGAATAGGAGGGTCTCCATTCTTCATTCAAAGCCTATTTATGTACTCTGAATAAGAACTACTATATTCTACATCTAAAGGGCTGTATGACTGCCTCATTTCACCAAGTTGGGTACCATTTTTCTCATGGATGGGCTCTGGGAAAGATTCTAGGTATAACGTCTAGCAAAACATTTTTGTAAATTTTACAAAAAGAGAAGATACAGTCTGAAATGGCAGATATATGTTTCTTAAGGAGTGCTCATGAATAATTAATAAATAGAACTAAATGACAATGAACATTGTAGAAAATCTCATTTTTGTTTGTCAGTAACTCTTCCTTTCATATTCTTTCCTCTCTTGAACTTCTGTGATTCAGAATACAGTGTAGGTATCTCTGTAATTATAAACATTACTTACTCTCAAGAAAAAAGCCCTCAACTCTATTTTAGTATTATTTTTCAAATGCTTCTCAAGTTTGTAACTTTCTGATCATACAGTTAACTTCTCTTATTTGAATTTAGTATGATTTATGTGGTGAAGATTCGAGTGCTTACTATGTGTCATGACATTTATTACAAAGGAAGAGAGATGCTGAGGTCACACAGTCATAATCTTTCCATCAGTCTTTAAGCTATTTAGTTTATTTATCCTTATTTTTTAATGTTTTTTTCTTTTTTTATTTATTAAAAATTTCCACCTCTTCCCATCCTCCCATTTCCCTCCTACTCCCTTCACTCTCCCTCCTCTCACTCTCCACTCCTAAGAGAACTCAGGGTGCCCTGCCCTGTGGGAAGTCCAAGACTCCTCCCCCCCATCCACATCTAAGAAGGTATGCATCCAAACAGACTAGGCTCCCAAAAAGCCAGTACATGCAAGAATTCTTTCAAATTACTATATCCTTCTCTGACTCAGGGTATTGGTAGGGGACTCCCTTGTAAGCCAGTTTCATCTTCTTAGTCCTGTGTTCACAACAATGCTCAGCTGTGGGTACCTCCTCAAAGTCATCTTCTGACTACCACTCCATCCTGTTATCTGCTACCTGCTAGATTTCCTTTTCCTTCTCATCTCATTATCTTTAAACATAACTAGGGATGGAAAATTATTTAATTTTGAATATACTTTTAGAATGTCCTCTCCACGAAGCAGAGTATTTGGATTTAATAGTACCAAAATGTGGCTTGTATAACATATTCTGAAGGAGTATTTGAAGAAAAAAATGAATAGTTAGCAAATATTTTTTGAGTATCAAGTATCATCAAAGAAGTTGGAATCTGTAATGATGTGTTTTGTCTTTTAGTTTCTGAATGCTGTGCTTGCCTAGAAAAGTGGGTTGGATATCAATGTAACTGTTACTTCATTTCCAAAGAAGAAAAGTCTTGGGAAGAGAGCAGAGATTTCTGTGCTGCTAAGAATTCTAGTCTTCTTCATTTCAAAACCAGAAATGAAATGGCATGTACCTCACTCTTGTTTCTTACATTCTTTCTTACCTATGAACGTGAGCTGCCCAGCTGAGCTGAGCACTCTGATGGAAGTCTTTATCACCAAGTAGACTGTGATGGTTCCTGAGATCCTCAGTTTGATATACCTTGAAATATTCTTAGAAAGTCTACTAAAATAAGCTTCAAAGATTTGTAGTATGGGGTAATTTTTGAATAAATTAGGAGCTAATGTGCAGCTCCCCAAACTTTTCTAGAATTAGTAGGCTTTTAACTTTCACAAGAGAACTACCAGAGGAACTTTTAATTATTATTTGTTGGGACAGAATACTTAATCTCTTTCATGTGTTATATGACTTTTTGCCATCTTTCTGGAATGTAATGTAGAATCAACAATGGATCATATGAACATAAAATTACTTAGATTATGATTGTTGCTATCGTATGTTTCATAGAGTAGTAAACCTAGGTAATGACATGCCAAACAAATACTCTACCACTGTGCCATATTCCCAAACTGGATGTAGTGGGGAGGGCCTTGGACTTTCCACAGGGTGGGGTGCCTTGGCCTCTCTTAAGATTAGAGGGGAGTGGGGAGAAGGGTGGGAGGAGGGAGCGGGAGTAGAGGAGGAAGTGGGAATTTGGATTGGTATTTTTTAAAGTAATAAAATATAATAATATTAAAAAATGTTTTACTGTGTGTTTGAGACAGAGGGACATATCTCTGACTTACCTTTAAACTCTCAAACAAAGTGGAACTCTGTTTCAGTCTCCTGAGTACCAAGAATTACAGGCCTGAATCACCAGGCTCCTCTTGGAAATCACTTAATTTTTATGAAAAAATTCTCCAAAAAAAAAAAAAAGAAAGCTGGGCGGTGGTGGCACACGCCTTTAATCCCAGCACTTGGGAGGCAGAGGCAGGCGGATCTCTGTGAGTTCGAGACCAGCCTGGTCTACAAGAGCTAGTTCCAGGACAGGCTCCAAAACCACAGAGAAACCCTGTCTCGAAAAACCAAAAAAAAAAAAAAAAAAAATTCTCACACTCTCCATGGTCTGCTCAGATTAAAGAGGTTATAAGTATGAGGGTTATCTCTCAAGATGTACTCATTGAGGTCACATTTGATCATCGATCTTACTAAAGGAGGGTTGATGCACCATGGCGTCTCATGCTCTTTATGAAAATTTTCAAGTTGTAAGAAGCAAGATTTTGTAGTGTTTTTCCACATGAGTCATTTACCACAAAGGTAAATAAAAATTTTAAAGCATGTGACTATGCCTCCCAAATCAGAAGTCAAAAAGATTTCAATTTGAGTTTTTTTTTTTTTTTTCCTGAATGCCTTTTAAAATGGGTGTTGATCTCAGAGTACATTCAGACTTGGTTATCTTGTTCTTTCTGCCTCTAAGCAGAATTTTATGAGCTCCAGTCAATCCTATTTCTGGATTGGAATGCATTTTCATGAAGAACAGGATGCCTGGCTATGGGAGGATGGCTCAAGCCCTTCAAAAGATCTGTAAGTTTCTGGCTATTGAGGAAGGTTTTGGGGGCATATTTTTATGGATATATTCTAGCTATGAGGACTGAAAAATCACTGCCAGGTACTCAGAAGTTCAAATATGTTGTGCGGAGCCTGAGAATATATAAGGACGCCAAAGGGCGAGCAGGATTGGTCCACCCATAACATTCAAGTTCACGTTCAGGTAACATGAAAGTTGTATACCTGAGACCCTAATAAAATTTTCTTTGCTGTCTTTTCCTTATTATAAGATAATAGAAAACACCGAATGTGTCTATGCATGCTCAGGTGGTCTCAGATACAGGTATGCCCTGAGAACACAGCAGGTCCATTTTTGCTCTTCTAATGGATTCCACTATTTTTCTTATCATCTTCAAATATTCAACAACTATTTTTGTAATCTCATTCTCATTCACAAGCATGTACTCTAAAGACTTATACAGTGACTAAGTTTATGCTCTCTTCTCGTAGCTTGGGTTAACTCATAGATTTTTCTCTCGTGCAGTGTAATCTTATTGCAGTTTTCCTTTTCTCAACTCCTCCCAGATCCTTGCCCCTTCTAAAAAAAAAAAAAAATCTATGCAAACCGCACCTAAGAGCAGACCTAACGCCTAGCAGCAGTTGACCAACTTGAACAGCACAAAATGAGTTCAGTGGTAGAGAGATTTTGTTGCTGTTTTTTGTTTCTTTCATAATGTCTTGTCAGGGTACTTTTTTCTAACCTTTCAGATTTTTTGTGTATATATTATGTTTCCCACCTTGTTTTTTTCTGGGTTTTCTGTATGTGCTAACATGTGTCTCAGCATCTATAAATGCCTCTTGTACTTTTGCTTTGGTTCTTTTTCTTTTGTCATACTTCTTAACCAAATAGGGAAGACCAACATATTATCAAAAACATTTCTGGCCAGACACGGTGGTACACACCTCTAATTCCAGCACTAGACAGACAGAGGAAGGTATATGTCTTTGAGTTCCAGGCTGGCTTGCTCTGTGTGTTCCAGGTCAGCTAAAGCTACATCCTAAGACCTTGTCTCAAAACAAAGCAAAACAAACAAACAAGCAACAAACACACAAAAAAGCAACCCAGGCATTTGTGACAGAGGTGAAAAAAAAAACACAAAGAAATAAATAACAAAACCACAACTAGAAAGCATTCTCTGGTCTTAGTGCTAGTGGCCAGTGAGGAATCAACTGAGTTTTATGCAATGTTGTACTTCAGAGCTGTGAAAGTTTGCTGTAGAGCAACAAAACAATACCAAATACACAAAACCCCAAATCACTTAGCTAGTAAGTATCTCAAGCAAATGTTATCGCACGTTCTGAGCTGATAAAAATAACCTTAAACATCCTTACTGTTTTTTAAATGTTAACTTTTTTCCCCTTCATTACAGATTTCCAGAGTTCTCATATAACAAGACAAAGGACTGCATTGCATATATCCCAAGTAAAACTATTTTCATCGAACCCTGTAAAAATAAAAACTATTTCATCTGTAAGCAACTGCATATTTAAATAGTTCTTAAGGCAATGGGTATAGACAAGAGAGGTCCAGGATTAGTTCAACATTACTTAACTCTCACAATATTACTACCTTTTCATCTTGAGTTGGTAGAATGTTTCTGAATGCTATCATTTCATACATTTGAACCCAAGTATTTTATGCTTGTTGGATTTTTCACATCCGTGCATAAAATTAGGATGAGTAAAGGTAGAGAGTTTTTTTATAAATATTTTGATTTAATGCATGCTCAATATGCAATATAATTTAATCCACATTCTTGTAAAGTTTTCTTGGAAACAGAATAAAATTTATTCCAAACCGAGTCATATGTATCCATGTGGTTTTAGTGTTTATATTGGAACTGAATTGAACCTGGAGATGAGTTTGAGAGACAAAATCACTTCATGACTAATTCTCGTCAACCATGAGCCTGGGAGTGGGTTTTTTCATGTCTTTTCTCCTTCATAAGTTCTTCATATCTTAAGGATTTTGTTATAGAAGTCTTACATATACTTAGGTTTATTTCTATTTTTGTTTTTTCAAACTATTGTTAATAGGTTTGTTTTTCTGATTTCTCAAGAAATCACTATTTCTTTATGAATATTTAGAAAAGCTACTGAATCTTTTTGGATTTTGAGTCCTGTTGAATGTTGAAGATGTTTCTTACATTTAAGAATTTTCTGATGATATTTTTAGTGTCTTTTAAGAACAGAAGCATACCATGTGCAAACTAACATGATTTGACTTATTCTTTTTCTAAGCACAAGCATTTTATTTATTTATTTTGGCCTACCTCTAAGACATCAGGCACTACATTAAGTAGCAGAGACCCTTGTCTTATCCCTGATGTTAGAGGAAATGATGTCAATTTATCTCCACTTACTGCTATTTTGGCTGTAGGTTTGTCATGTATTAAGCCATGTATTATACCGACGTGTGTTCCTGATATTTCTGATTTATAAAGGTTTGAATTGCCATAAGAAGCTGAACTTTGTCAAAAGGCCTTTTCTGCATCTATACAATTGATAAAAAATAACCTGCAAAAAATTATAGACAATTTGATTTTAGTGTGTGCTCTAAAAGTTGAGTATGTTTTGTGACAAATGACAAGATCTGCATCAATGCTGCACTGGGAAATTTCCTTCCATGTTACATCCAGGTTGATAAGTATGGTCAAAGCAACTGATCAGAAGGAGAGTTTGTCAATTCTTAGGCTAGATCACCAGAAAGCACTAGATACTTTCCTTTCTATAACCTCGGTTGATCTGGGAGAACCTAGGTAGAGCACCATTAACAGTTCTGCTGAGCAGACTGTGTAAGGCAGAAAGACTTTATGGCAGTCTGCAAGGATTGACGTCTGCTTTCATCATCTATATCATCTATGTAATGAGCAAGCCTTCTTTGCAAGTACAGAGTACTTGCAAAGCCCAAATCAAACTTTCAAATGACCCTAGCCCAGTCAGGGTCTTGGTGACAACTTCATGCCTTGGTCACTTCTAGTAGGACTAGGAAAATGGGTCAGATATTAATTCCCTTTGCACCTCATTAGCATGTTTCTGGTGGTGTCAGCCAAATATAACTTATCTAGAATAAGTGGCTATAAGGATACAAATAGAAAAATCAAAGTAACTGTATTCCACCAATCACATCTAAACAACCAACTAAGCCAGCCATAAACCTAAAATCAGAAGTCATACTTCAGTAAGTTAGAAAATTAATCAAATTATATGAACCAAATCAAATAATAGAGACTTACACAAATAGTAACTAGTTAAGGAGATGTAAGAGATGTAAAGCTACACTTTCAGCACGAATAGGACAAAAATATTTAGAAGTAAATTAAAAAAGCTATTAGAAACTTATGCAAAAACCTTACCAAAAGATAGAAAAGTATATAAGAATATAATGATATTTATTTTTGAATGTTTTCAAATTTATTTATTCAAATTTATTTCAAATAAATTCAAAAATTTATTATTTTTAAAGAAATGAACCATTCCCAATAGAAACCTAGTGACATATTTGATGGAGATGAGCAATTTGACATGGATAATATGTAAAAATAACCACAGAGCAGCATGGGTGTGGGAGATGTGTCCTCCCCACTCCTGCCCATCAACACCAGAGGCATGTGGAAGATCTGGCCCTGAGGTCATATGAATGCCCGTCCCCCCCCCCCCACCAGCTGCAGCACAAGGGAAAATAGGACCTGAACCTAGGCAGCACAAAAGAACCAACCCTGTTGGAGGAGGTATGTGTGAACTACCCAGTTGTGAGTATGGGAGAACTGTTCCCATTACTTATCTGTTGTGTGGTGACATGGGCTGGGAAGAGATGCTCTCTCCCATCCTCCCATCCTTTAATCCACCAACACCCATCAATCCCTAAACGGGTGGGAGAGCTGACCCAGAGATCTTAAAAAAGAGAAACCTGTTCCTACCTCTCATTAGTTGCAGCATTTGGGAGAGTGACCCCTACACCATGCCTGGGCAATACAGTAGAGCTGATGCTGAAAGAGTAAGTGTGGGAGAACTGTAGGAGGGAGAGAGAGCTGTTTGTTGGTTCCCAGCCACTTAGTCCCGAAATAAACACACAGAAACTGTATTTAAATTAATGCTTTGCCCATTAGCTCTAGCTTCTTATTGGCTACCTCTTACATATTAATTTAACCTATCTCTATCAATCTGTGCATCACCATGAGGTTGTGGCCTACCAGCAAAGTTTCAGCAAATCTGTCTCTGATGGTGGCTCCATAACTTCTCTCTGACTTTGCCCCCTTTCTCCCAAGATACAACCTAGCTTTTCCTGCCTAGTTCTGTTCTCCTCTTGCCATAGGCACAAAGCCATTCTTTATTCATTAACCAATAAAAGCAACATATAGATAGAAGGACCTCCCACACCAGAGAACTGACCCTGAGGGCATGAAAGTAGGAGAACTGTTGTTGTGGAAGCTCCTTCTGCTCCTTCAGCCAATAGCTGCTGAGATACCATCCCACTGGGGCGTGGTCTCTCTTTCTTTAAAAAAATAGCAACTGCCCTCACTAGCTCTCTGGCTTCTGGCTCCTCTTCCAGCGAGTAGGCTCCCTTCCTGATTGCTCAGAGGGCTGTTGTCTGGGATGGTGATCTGTAAGTTTTTCTCCCTTAAATAAATAGCCATTCTATTAATCATAATTCCAAACTGGTGTGGAATTGTTTGTGACTTATGCCTTCAAACTGTCCTTTCCCCTTTTTGTCATTGCAAGGTGTGAAGTAGCCAAGATAATGCAGGAGACCTCACCTTGGTGATGAGGACAGGGAGAGCTGGTGGAATGACCAACTCTGCTACTACCCAGGACCAGAACCAGGGTTTTGAGTTGGCCCACCCTAACATCTGTGACCTGTTGGAGAACATGAAGGGACTGTTTCTGAAGATTCAAAGCTGTAGGATCTTCACAACACAGGGCAACAACAGGACATCCAAGAGGAGTTCCAGTCAGGGCCCAGCTTTGCTAGGTAACAGAAAACAGAGGCCTCAAACCAGACTCTGTAATGCACACTTCCAAGTATAGACATGTGGACAATAGGGTTTACTGTGTCACACTACAGCTTCCTGATGAGACTGATTCCCCCATTTTCTTTTCTTTTTTTTTTCTCTTAAATTATATTATTTTTTTTGAGGGGTGGTTGCAAGGGCATAGGGTGAATACGAAGGAACAGAGAAATAAATGAGATGGAGATGCATGATGTCAAAGACAGAAAGAATAAATAAAAGGAAAGTTTAAAAAAGTCACAGAGATTAAACAGACTGAAAAGTTACAACTGTGATAAGCAACAGCCATCTACTAAATGTGGGGATGCATTTGCAAGTATTAAAATAGAGGGACCAAGGGAAGAGGCTATAAAAGCCCTAAATAGTCTGGACTTCATATACAACAAAAGTGCATAGACTGTGTACATGACTAAATAAATTTTTTTTGACAGTGTTAGCTTTTCTAATCTATGAGCAAGTGTTCTCAATCCTTTATTTATGTTGCTAATTTCTCAACACATACCTCTAGTTTTGGCAGAGATGACTTAGACTCTTTTTCATGTATTTGTCAGTATTTGAAATAATTGGAGATAGACTTCATGCATTTTTATTTCCTAAAGATTTGCCAACATGAAATTAAAAGGTATTTCTAATCCTAAAAAGTGATAATGGTAGTACCATTTGATATTAATTTGAAAATTTTACCTAACAAAGTGAGAAAATTTTAATGATATAAACCTAAAATAGAATGAAACCAACTGTATGTTTGTATGTGTGTGTGTGTGTGTGTGTGTATGTGTGTGTGGTGCAATCATTTCTAACAAATTACTATCCACATTATAGTTGTGGTAGTTTGAATGTAATTGGCCCCAATAAGATCATAGGGAGCATCACTATTTGAAGGCATGGCTTTTGTTGACAGAGGTTTCTGTCCTGCCTAGTTCCCATAGTCGTTTAGTCCCAAAGAGATCACACAGAGGTCTACATTAGTTATAAACTGATTGGCCCATTAGCTCAGGCTTCTTATTAACTCTTATAATTTATATTAGCCCATTATTCTTGTCTATGCTAGCCACATGGCTTGGTACCTTGTTCAGCGAGGCAGTCACATCTTGCTTCTTCTGTGGCTGGGATACGGAGTGCAGAAGGAACTTCCTTCTTCTCAGAATTCTCTTATTCTTGTTGACCTGCCTCTATTTCCTGTCTGGTTGTCCTGCCTATACTTCTTGCCTGGCTACTAGCCAATCAGCGTTTATTTAAAAATATAATTGACAGAATACAGATCATTGTCCCACATCAGGCTTTGTTACAGTAGGTATGACCTTGTTTGTGGAAGTGTGTCAATTTGGAGGTGGCTTTGAGGTCTTATATATGCTCAAGCCATGTACAATGAGACAGCCCACTTTCTGTTGCCTTCTGATCAAGATGTAGCCAGCACCATGTCTGTCTGCACTCTGCCATGATGATGAAGGACTGAACCTCAGAAACTGTAAGTGAGCCACACCAATAAAATGTTTTCTTTTATAAGAGGTAATCATGCTCATGGTTTCTCTCTACAGCAATAGATACCCTAGCAAAGACAATAGTTTACCATCAAATCACTCTACCTTGAAAAAAAGTTCATCTTCTTAGTTCTGTCATATAATCTTATCTGTTTCATAGCAAATGCTTATTTACTGACTTTGCTCTTTCTTAGACTCTTCAGAAAAAGCTTGATGATACTTTATAATGCACACTACTTAGCAAAGTGTCAGACAGCCTCAGAATTGCAGAGATCCTCCAGCTTTAGTCTTCTTCTGAAGTGCTGGCATTGCAGGCGTAAACCACAATTTCCAACTCTGAATAAATATTTTTCAATGTCTAATTTAGTCTGTGCCACATGATAATTTAGTCTTGAG